GACAGTGCGGCACTTCCTCAGCACTGACCCCGAGACAGTGTGGCACTGCCTCAGCACTGACCCCGAGACAGTGTGGCACTTTCTCAGTCGTGATCCTCTAACAATGCAGCATTCCCTCAGCACTGACCCTCCAGCAGTGCGGCACTCCCTCAGTATTCAGCCTCTGGCCGAACTGGTTCCACTCTCATCCTGCAAATGCTTAATACTCCATTGGGACTGGCAGTCTTGACCATATGTTCCACTTGAATCTAAAAGCTTATGCATTAACCAACAAGCCACAATTCAACAATTACTGGATTGGGTCCCCACCCTCTTGGGTCGGTTGCAATGGAATCCATTCTTTCAAGAAACAAATTTATGAAGAACTAACAGTCACAGATGAAATAAGACTTACGAAAGCTGTGCCACGATGAACTCGAGGTGAGACTTTAGCTTACTCCCTAGGGGATAATCCAGAATGAACTTCAAATAAACCTGACACAAGGAAGCAAACAGATGAAATGATTACAACAGATTTGGGGTGTTAGAATATACAAAAAAAATTATTTATGCAGAAACCCATTCGAGACACAGAAACACAAAGAGTACGGCATACTCAGAGATGCACACCCACACGTACCCAAACCCACCATACACACACCTCCCCAACACGCGCGCACACGCACATGCACATGCACACACATACACCTGCATGTTTACACCAACACACTCATGTGTACACTGCATGTGCATTGTCATACACTAACACACACATGTACATGTATTACTGGCGTTTTTCACACCTCGTGTCTGGTTCTCTTGTAGACTGATTCATAGAGACTGGTCCCTCTGATTTGTTAATAATTCTGTTCTAGTTGTTTCATGTGACTACCAAAATGGTGGAAGATGAACAAGAGTGAACTTGATTTTGCTTTGTGTTGGAATTCCCAAATGCACAGGATCCGAACAGATTAAAAAGCACAGGGGTTCATAGGAATTACAAGCACAACGGATTTCTTCCTCAAGGTGAATTGGGATCTATGGCGCGTGCTGTAGTAAACGACAGGAGAAACTCTGAAACTTGTGACACTGGGTTTGACACTGACCTGACGACACTGCACTCGAACTGGTTCACTCTGTCCAGTCACAGCAAGCTTCGCCACTTTCTGCATCACTTCATCCATCTCTGGAACAAGTAGCTTTCTTGATAGAATTGCCTGTGAGGATAAAAAGCAGCAAGGGATGTCTGAACCCGAAAAACTGAATGAGGGGTTTGAAACATGAATTGCGACCTTTTAAAGGGCAGAAGGGAATTCCCCAAGTATTTGGGAAACTGGAAGCTACACCCACGGAAGGCCAAGTGGATTGGGGATATTGGAGGGTGGAGGGTTGAGACAGTGACAGAGGACTGGAGGTTTACTAATCCTGAAGGAAGAGTTGGGGGAATTGGGCAGCCAGCGTTTGAGGTGGGATTGATCATGTTGCCATAGTGAATGCAGCACAGAAGCATTAGGCCGCAAATCCAACGTGGAGTTTGGGTGAGTCTACAGTTTAAGTTCAAAATGTTGTAGTCAGACTCCACATCGTGTTTAAAATGTCAACCTCTGATAAGAGAAAAGAGGAAAGTGGAAACTGACTCAGTAACTTTTAAAAGGCAATCAGATCTCTGCTTGAAAGGAAAAATATATGGGGCTAAATTAGAAGCAAGAACAGGGTGTGTGGGACTAAATGGACAGCTCTTTCAAATAGACAGCACAGGAATAATTGGCCAAATGGCCTCCTTCAGTACTGTCCCATACCCTGAGGCTCCATGTGATATCCCAAGACTGCGAGGCATGGTATATGGACATAGTCTCACTTTAACATTCCTTTCTCACACAACAGACAAAGTCCCCTTCAAGAGAAGGCATTGACTCTAATTGAACAGGTGGTGCCGAGTGAGATCCCATTTTAAACTCCGAGAGAGAACTGGTTTCCTCTCATTTTCACCCTTCACATCAGGATCTTACATGTTTCGGTTGACTTGCCCCTTACTCTTCAAAATTCCAACTCAAGCCTAGTCTGTCTAATCTTTGCTCACATTCCAGAGTAAACTTTCCCTGAACTGCTTCCAACACAAACATGGATCTGAAAATTTGCTTCCTCATTTTCAAATCCCAAAATTTCACACCTACCCTAATCTCTGTAACCTCCTCCAAACGCAATACCCTCTAAGATCTCTGTGGTCTGCCAATGTACCCCTTGACTTCCCCAACTTCATTGGCTCCTCCACTGGCAACTGTGCCCTCACAGTTGCATGGTCCCTGAGCCCTAGAACTTCCTCTGTAAGCCCCTCTAGCTCTCTTTCCTTTTTGAAACTGTTTCTTAAAACTTTTATCTCTAAAACCTCTAATGGCTCAGTATTAGATTTTGCCTGATTATTCTAATGGGATGCGTCTTGGGGTATTTAATTCATTCTTTTAGGAGATGCCCAGTATTCGCTGCCCATCCCTAAGTGCCCTTGAACTGAGTGGCTTGCTCAGCCATTTCAAATGGCAGTCAAGAGTCAATTGCATTGCTGTGGATCTGGAGTCACACATAGGCCAGACCAGGCAAGGATGGCAGATTTTGTTCTCTGAGCCCTTCAATTTTTATGACAACCAATGGTAGTTTTGTGGTCTTCACTATGGAGACTAGCTATCACTTCCAGATTTGTTTTATTAATCAAATTTAAATTCCACCAGCTGCGGAGTGGGATTTGACCCCATGTTCAATGACATTACCACTCCACCATCACCTCTCCAGATAGCTTCAAAGTGCTATAAAAACTCAGGTAGCTGTTGCCACCTTCACTCACTTTGAGAAGTCCAAAAGCTGTTGCCTGACGCGATGAGTCATAAATATCTTCCTCGGCATATCCCAACAGAATCTGCAACTGTTTGTCAGTTATCGTGTGCCCCGTCATGTTCCTCACGAGGATTGTAATTGACTGTGGAATGGTAAAAAATAAAATATTAACACAATCCACCATCATATTCTCAGATGACGGACTGGCAAAGGATGCAAATTACTTCCCATCACCAATGATATTGATCATAAAGGTGGCGCTTATAAAGCGCCAATTCCGCTACCTATTTCATTTCACTTAATACTTACTGACATTTTATGAGAACAATTTGTTAAATGAATGTACCCAATCACAGCTCAGAACATAGAAACTAGAACATTGCAGTGAAGGCTGACATCAAGTCACTCACTTTAGGCTGTGAGCAGCTCCCTGGAATCCAGAGCAGCTTTCACTGGCCTCTACATATCACGGCACCAACGTGCCCACTGTGTGTGTTGTCGGCCACATTCAGAGAAACTAGCGTAAGGGTTAGGGGTGGGGGTAACCTTTCAATCCACTGGGTGTCCATCACAGTATCAGCTCTTTCAAATGGACTTTAAACTCTTTCCCTCGCGTTTCCCATATCTTTGCGAAATATTTAACTAACTTCTTACTTTAAGTGGCATTCCAGTCAGTGCTACATTGTCTACTGGTGGTAAATCATTAACCATTCTGGTAATCTCTGGAAACATGTTCAATCTCTGATTGAGAATTGTTTATTATCATTACCAACGCACTAACTATTGTGGAAGTAATTTTATACCAAATGTCACATAAAACTTATCACTTCAAAAACCTTCTTTTAACCTTCTCTGTCACTAAGTGTGAGCTGGACGCACTGCATATCAGAGCTATTGGGGATAAAGTTCAAGATTTTGACCCAGTGACACTGAAATAACAGCAACATATTTCTGAGTCAGGATGGCGAGTTGCCTGGACGGCAACTTGCCGACGGTGGTGTTCGCATGTATCTGCTGCTCACTCTCCTCTTGGTGGTACAGGCCTCAGGCCTCAGGCCTCAGGCCTGGATGATGCTGTTGAAAGAGTAGTGGCCCATTACGGCATTGCATATACAAAATGGTACATAAAAACTAAAAGAACTGCAGATGCTGTAAATCAGGAACAAAAACAGAGGGACGTTCCGAGGAAGGGTCACTGGGCCTGAAACGTTAACTCTGATTATTCTCACAGATGCTGCCACAGCTGCTGAGCTTCTCCAGCAACCTGTTTTCATACAAAATAGGACACCCAGCTGCCAGAGTGTGTCAGTGATGGAGGAAGTGACTGTTAAAGGTGATGGACATGGTGCCAATCAAGCGGGCTGCTTTGTCATGGACAGTGTTGAGGTTCTTGAGTGTTGTTGGACCTGCACTCATCCAGGCAAATGGAGAGTATTCCATCACATGCCTAACTTCTGACATACAGATAGAAGACAGGCCTTGGGGAGTCAGGTGGTGAGTTACTGGGTTGGCTTGTAGAGGTATGGAAATGAGTTCAAAAATCATACCTTATGAACTGTCACTTTGATGAAGAGATCAGTCAAAGTGAGATGTGGTCCTTAAAGCCACCAGGGAGAGCAAGGCAACCATTACAAACAACAGCCAACAAAACAACCCTGCTCAGCCGACTGATGGAGAATTAAGCAGGAGCAGGACAAAGTATCCCATTGACTAGCGTGAGACACTAGTACTAGTGTGTACCATCTACAATATGTTCCTCAGTAGCTCACCAAGGCTCTTCCAACAGAACTTTCCACGCCTGTGACCTTGATTATCTAGAAGAACAACGGCAGCAGAAGGAAAGGACCACAACCACCTGCAAGTGTCCTTCCAAGCCATTTACCATTCTGACTTGAAAATATATTGCTGTTCCTTCAGTGTCAGTGGATCAAAATCCTGAAGCTAATGGCACTATAGGTCTACCGTCTGCAGTGTTTCAAGAAAGCAGCTCACTACCACCATCTTGAGGACCAGTAAGGATGGGCAACGAACGCTGTCTCAGTCAGCAATGCCCATAATCCCATGAATAAAAATAATGAGTAAATAAATAGAAGTTCAGCATAAAGAACAACAATTACATTAAATTCCCATAAAATACTGCTTAGGCGTCACCAAGACTGGACTCCAGACTTTAGGAAGTATGGCAAGCATACTTGGCATAAAAACAGGCTACAGAAGCAACTTATGAAAGAGGTATTGTAACCGAGAGAATTCAGTCACATGGAAAAGCAAGGATTGTCCTCCTTTGAACACAGAAGCCGACTAAGAGATCTAAAAGCAAAGATCAAATCAATGAGGTGTTTGATTAAATTAACTGAGGGAAAGAGATTCCAGTGACTGCAGGATACTGGCTTAAAATGACTGGCCCAACCACTGGAAGGTGATATTAATGATTGAAAATGTTACCTTGAAACAGTTCACCACCAGGTGAAAGTTCTCTCCCCTCGCTGCTCCAGCCTTGGCGTAATCCTTCAGTAACACAAAAAGTTGCTGGGTCAGCTGATCAGCCAGAGTTTCTGTGGATGCCAGCGGGAATTTCAATATCCAGGTGAGGCACTGCAAGGCAGAAGTGATCACCTGTAGATGAAAAGAATTGACACCTCAGCAATTAATGTTCATGCAGAAACCCAACATATACAGCACCACACCCAGTATACTGAATGCCTAAGCAAAAATGCCAATTTCACAGATGTAATCTCACTCAGTAAACCATGTTTATCCTGTCCACAATATTACAATGCTGGAAGGAAATATCAAATTATTTCTTTACAAGTGATTTCTAGCTGAGGTGCACTGTTAGGATATGAATGTAGGTGTCTTTCTTATAAATGAAGTGTTCTCTTTGCTGTATAAAGACCTTAGAGAGGCTTTTACTGCAGAACTTTACAACTAATGAATCATGTTTGTGGTGTTAAAGTAGGAAACATGGAAACCAGTTCACACACAGAAAACTGCCAGAAACAGCAATGCGATGTGTGATCAGATAATTGGTTTTAGAGTGATGGTGGACGACTAATACACCAGCAAGAACTTATCCGGCTCTTCTATGAAATAATGCTGTTTGATCCTTTGCATCCACCCAATAGGGCAGATAGAACATTGTGCTTAATGCTGGATTTGAAAGCCAATACCTCTGACAGTGCAGCACTCCTTCAGTACTGCCATCAGGATTAGTCAGCATAGATTCTTGTTCTTATAATATCTACATATGCATGTTCCGTTGAATGAGAGATATTTGTAAAAAGGAATCCATTAACTTCAGAGAAAATAAAAACACATTAGGATTGTAAGAAATATGAGGCATTAACAGTACAGAAACAGGTCATTCGGCCTGATTTTTTTTGAACAGACATGCAGTGGAGCATAGGTGTGAATGAAGGTTCTGGTGGGTACTGTCCTTCTCACCAGCAGGCAAACTACACCTTAGTGCTTGATGGGAAGTTCTGGCAATGAGACTTTCTGCCAAATAACTTTGACAGTCTGCTCAGGGAGCCACCCAACAGAATCCACCCTCTCCATTTCCTGCACGGTCTTGACCACTGCCTGATGGACTTGTGGTTAAAGTGTTCTCCTTTACAAATTTTTCCATGAGGGACAGCTGGTACGGAACTGCCCAACTGCTTGGAGCATTCCATGCAACGAGGCCAGGCCCATCCTTCGTAACATCGGGGACAAGTGGAACTTAGTATATAGTGACACTTGGGGTTTGTGTTCTGAGTGTACACAAAGGTGGCCATTAGGATGAGGGCAGCATTGGGTACGTTCCTCCCTTCCTTATCCACAGCTTTGCATGTAGTGTCCCTGCAGATATCTTTGACCTCCGGATGTAGTGGAAGGTGGTTCAGGTGACTGCAACGGTGCAGGCTCAGGGGATAGGTCAGGTCTGTGTAAACAACCACACCGAGTACCTCACACCCGGTGACCAGGTTTCTACCCACAACGGAGAGGCAAAGGTCCACCCATCTGCCCAGTTTCTGCCTCACCTTGGCGATATGCTCCTCCCAGGTTTTGGCCCTAGCCCTAACCCCTCCAAACCATATACCTAGCACCTTCAGATCCCATAGCAGACTGTACCCAGTTGCTAACGACCTTAGTCAGGATTTTATAAACCACATTCAACAGAGAAATTGGTTGCCAAGTTCTAATTTCCTCCCTCTCCCCCTTCCGCTTGTAGATGAGGGTGATGATATCCTTCCTCATGGATTCACACACAACCTGCCGGGAGCATGCTGTCATACAACTTGGGAATTTTATTCTTTTCAAAAGGCTTGAGGGTCTTGGTCAGCTCACCCAGAGATATCGGCCGGTCCAGCCTCTCCTGTGTGGTGCCCTCTGTTATAGAGGTCAGGTATGACTGGGAGGCCATTCTGTCTGTGGGCTTCATATCATACAGTCTGGCATAAAAGGATTTGCCGATACTCAGGATGTCAGACTGAGATGATGTTACCAAGCCATCTTCTTCTGTTAGCCTACTGGTCACAGTGTTCTCCCTGTGCACCTTCTGGAAGAAGGAACATGAACATGTCTCATCCTGCTCCACAGAATGGACCCTGGACTGGAAGATTATCTTGGAGGCCTCTCAGGGAAAGAGGGAGGCTCGCTGGCTGTTCACCTCTTGGAAATCCTCCTTGACATGGACCCTCATTGTCTTCAGCAGAAGTAGGTTCTGCATGCTTTTCTGGAGTTTGGATAGTTTTCCCCGTCTCTCTCTCTCACTCATCTTCTGAACACTTTCGGGGATGAAGAGCCTTGATGGTCCCCTGCACTGTTTCCCACCAGTCTGCAGGAGACTCAAAAAGGGGCTTCACAGTTCTCCAACCTGTGTAATCCCTTTTGAGTTCCTCGATATCTTCCGGGGTCAACAGTTTCACATTCAGCTTCCACGTACCCTTGCCAGCCTGCTGGTTGTCCTGTAGTGATAGTTGGCCAGCAGGAGGCAGTGGTCAGAGAAGAACACCAGCTTTGACATTGGTGGATCCGACTGAGAGCGCTCGGGACACAAACAGGAAATCTATCCTGGAGTGGACAGACCCCTCCGGCCACTACCATGTGTATCCAGGCTGTGCTCCGCCTGCAGAGGTGATGAAGTCATCATGACCCAGCTTGGAATCTTTAACTGTTTCTGTCAGAAATCAGGATCTGGTAATAAGTTTATCTCAAAGCACCTGTGATGGTGGGGGCACAAATTAAAAAAAAAAAAATCTGATTTTTGCACATGCTTAGCTCTTCTTCACAGCCCTCTTCTTCCCAAATCTTCGATACCTTTCTTTCTTATCTAGCTTCCCCTCAAACATATGTTATGTCCCTCCCCGTTCTCTGAAAACTGACAAAGTTCCTCAAGAATTCCTAACCGGATTTACTGGTGACTATCTTAGACGGATGACCCCTAACACTGGTCTGCCTCAAAAGTGAAAACACACCGTGACATGCAGAATTTGTGTGATTTTACACAGGGAAGCTTTTTCAACTGAAAGAATTTTACAGTGACTTACAGCAGTGAAATCTAAAATATTAAAACCAAAACAAAGAAAATCCAAATAATGAGAATTTATCTTTTTTTTAAAAAAATAGGAGGTGGGAGTTGCTAGCTAAAGCTGTATTACAAGTCCATCCTCAACAGCAAGAGTCTATTTAGTTTGTGGGTGTGAGTGTTCTGCTTCACAAGATAAACTGTACAGATGTGAACAGCGCTCACCTTTACATGCATGGACTGGAGGCAGTCAATCAATAGCTGCACAAATGGGTCAAGCATTCCCAAAATGTGTTCTTCTGAAGAATTCACCTTCGACCTCTTCAAACTCATATGCAGCAACTGGGAGAAGATTGAAAAAAAAAACACTTGTGTGCAACTGTTTCACATGAACAAAATAGCAAGTCCATTCATTTGCCACAAACAAACCAGAACACAAGCAGGTTACAAGGTTTCTACAGAATGCAGTATCTGTTGCCAATCATAGCAGGTATGAGACTGAAATCACATGTAGGACCACATATAAATAGTGAGATTCCTAGGTGGGCAACACCACAGCCACTGGGCTCACCTCCCCCAACAAGCTGAAAGATTTCAAGGTTGTTTGTGGTCTGACACCAGCAAAACAATCCTATTTATTCAGAGATAGTAGGAACTGCAGATGCTGGAAAATCTGAGATAACAAGGTGTAGAGCTGGATGAACACAGCAGGCCAAGCAGCATCGGAGGAGCAGGAAGGCTGACG